GGAGGCGCTGGGTTCGCCAGTACTCTGCCTGGGACTGGAAGCACGTGGCTGCTGCCCGGACCAACCTGCCCCGTTACCAAGTCCCCGGGAACCTCACCTTTCCCATTTGGTGAGGGGGATGAGCTGTGCATGGCGGACTGGAGGCCCATTCGTTGCCCGCCGTCGCTGCCAGGGTGTCCATGTCGCCCACGACCCCAGGGCCCCCACCCATCATCCCTCCACCTGACCCAGGGTGCTGTCGCTGGCGCGGTCCACCGAACGCCGCGATCATGTCCGGGCTGAGCTGGCGGCGGCGGGCGTGCACGACTTTGAGTTTGTAGACGCTCTGGACGGCGACGGCGACCTGCCCGAGGCGGAGGTGGGTGCTGCCTGCGTTTGTGGATGGCCCCGTGTCTTCTCAGAAAGGGCAACAGCGCAGCTCGCCGGTGCCGTGTGTGGTGACATGGAATGTTGCATCTTCAGAAGCGCCGCGCCCCACCTTCTGTTGTCACACACACATATACACACACACATCCGAATTCATGTTGAGAATCGACCTCCAAAAGCCCGTGCAGGTCCAGACCTACTTCACGGGCGAGCGACTGGCCAAATTCCGGGCCCGCACCCCAAACGCGCGGTACAAGGTGGCCTGCGACCTCAGCCACTTCCGTCTCATGCACCGTCTGCTGGGCACGGGCCTGCCCATGGCCCTGGTGCTGGAGGACGACTTTGCGGTGCCCCCCGCCTCGCGCCCGCTCCTGCCCGCCCTGCGCGCGCGCCTCGGCGCCCTGCCCGCCGGCTGGGACGTGCTGCACCTGTCCCTCTGCGACGCCACGCCACAGGCCTGGGCGGGCCCCGGCGTGCGCCTGTTCAGCCGCGGCTTCTGCACGCTAGGCACGCTGTACACGCGGCGGGCCGCGCTGCGCGCGCTGCGCGCCGCCGGGGTGGGTCTTCGCAATGTGGACAACCTGCTGCTGGACCTGGCGCTGACGGGGGCCTTGGCCTCCTACCTCGCCGACCCCCCGCTGGTCCAGCCCCTGCCCGCCGCGCGCTGGCCCAGCGAGATCGACCGGGAGCCGGGGGCAAAGGATCCTTTCTGAAGCTTGCTGGTGTGAAGGGGTCACCTGACTGGGGCCATCCATGGCCTATGCTTGTCCCAGGTATCAAGTGGCAGTGCTCATCCCTTCGACCTGGGGTGGATGGCCCCCCCCCCCCGCCCACACCCCTCCCCCCCCCTTGCCTGCCTCAAGACCCCTGCCCTGCGTCTACCAGGTCGGGTCAGCCCGGCGCTGGGGATCACGATGTTACATGGCCACGAGCGCATGCAGCCGGGCCCCTCCTCCGGCAAGCCTGCCAGGCCGTCGGCAAAGGTTTCGAGTCACGGGGGGGTGGGGGGGAGCGGCCGAGTGTAGGGCAACCCCGGCGGCCCCGTCACTGAGCATTGGTGCGGCTTTTCGGGCAGTCCATCCCAATGCACTTGTTCCGCATCCACTTGGTGGCCGCCCACTTCTGGCCGGAGACCACGTCGCAGCCGCCGTGCAGGGCATGCTGGTCCAGGCTGCCATCGGGGTTGATGTTCCAGAACAGCAGGGCATCGCCCTTGCGCGGCTTGACCTGGGGCGGGAGCCAAAGAGGGGGGGGGTCGGCAGGGATCGGCAGGCTGTATAGCCGAGGGGAGGGGCGCCGAATTCGAGCGACTCTGGCCGCAGCCCTCGGCTGTGCAGGGTGTGTGCACGATGATTAGGGCACTGCACAACGCTTCAACGAGGCCATGCGGGCAGAGGCTGCGTCGACTCCGTCGCTCTCAAATGACCATGTTCCCCCCTCCGTCCCCCAAACGCTCACCTGAATGCCGGTGTCACACTTGGTGTAGTCGATGTTGCGCAGGCGGTCCAGGCCGTCCTTTCCTTCCAGGAGGAAGGTGGTCTCACCCCCTTCCTCCACGTCCGTCAGGTAGAGCAGCATGGTGGCAATCTGTGCAGGGTGGTGCAGGGGCAGAGCCGAGTGGATATCAGAGGCACTCGTTCCCAACCAGACCATTTGAGGGGCAGGCATGGTACTCCATCGTAAGGTACTGTACTGGATGAGGAACCCTTGACGCATGTGCACGCCATTCCACCCAGCACCCGCCGATGCCTGCAGCAACACACATGCCCTTTCCCCCCCTCCTTGCCAACCACAGGCCTACGACACAGCAGCTCCCCTGGCCCCGCGATGCCCCAGAAGCTGCAACAGGGCCAGGTCAGGACCCCACTCACCCTCTGGGAGCTCTGCGGTCCATAGTCCTTCTCAGGGAAGGCGTCCAGGTGCGAGTGGTAGTGCTGCCCATTCTCGTACCGCAGGACGTTGAAGGGCTCACCATATGCTGAGGGGTTGGGAGGTGGAGAGCACCGAGGTGGAGTGAGTGTCTGGGTGCTGTCCCTGCCTAAACATGTGGCACCAGTTCATTCAACATGGTGCGGCTGGCAAGGAAACAGAAGCAGGTGGGGCCTGACTCGGCCCGCAGGCATATCCAGCTAGGCCCCCCTCCCAACTCACCTGAGGGTACGCCGGTCACCGCTGCAATCTTCTCCTCGACCGACCTCAGGGTGCCTGTCTTGTCCATGCCTGAGGACAGGAAGGTGCCCGAGCTGGTCCTTACATCCCTGTGAGGATCAGGAGACGAAATGTCTGCGTCGATAACCTACCCTGAGGCATGAGTTGTCAAACACGCCGCTCTGCGGAAACATCTGAGCTTGCCTAAAGCACACAGGGGCGCACCCAACCTCCCTACTTCTGTTGGTTGGGGTCATCGCCCCTCTTGAGGGCCAGCCCTGAAGGTGCCAGTCTGCTGGCCGCCAGCTCCACCATTTTGTCGGCCTCTGCCTCGCTTAAGAATTTTGGGAAGATGTAGGCCCGGGGGTAGATGCTGAGCAACTGGAAAGGCTGTGTGTGGAGGGTGGGATCCAGGGAGGGGTTTGGATGGAAGGACAGAAGCGATGCCCCAGGATTGCGGCTTCCTTGACACTACAGGAGTTGGGGCCATTAGTTATATCGACAGAGGGGCAGGTGTTGGTGAGTGCAGGGTGCTGGGTTGGCAAGGGACACGGCTGGTCTTGTCAATCACACCCTTTACCTAGAAAAGTCACTGCCACCTGCTCACAGGTGCCCTCCCCATACCGCTCCCGATCTCACGGCACCTGGACGACGTAATGGTCGAGTCCAGTCTCTCCTGACTGCAACACTGGCCTGTCGGCGAGCATGCCCGACCATTCCAACAATTCCTCGAACGAGGTCCAGTTGCGTGTGGGCCCGGTTGTGGAAACTGCTGGCACGCTCTCCTCTTGTTGCAGGGAGCGTGCGCTGCCTCCCTCTCGCTCTACCGTCAACTGCATGCAGCGGAGAGGGGCTCCAGACGCATGGAACAAGGCACCTCCGAGCAGCAACGATTCCTTCGACACCCCCGACCCCCCCGACTGCTACTCACCCCTCGTCCGGCGCTGGGCAAGCCTGGGTACTGCTGCACCATTATCCCTGTGAAGAAAGCTATGGCACAGAGCACCAGGACGGCTGTTGTAGAGTACCCATTCCGAGCATGGAACCGCATTGCGGCCAGCACAGTGGGTTTACACTCACTGCAGAATGCCAGGGGCGAGGAATAACGGGAAACAGTGTTAAGAAATCGCTTTACACATCCAAACTTCGGTGGTCATATCGTACCCGCAAAACGTTGCGGCTGTTCCCTGTTGCCCGAGGTGCACGGTGCACGTCTCCGTCTTCCCGAGCTGCACCGGACAGCAACACGACACGCCACAGGAGCTCCCGGAGAGTTGATGTATCATAACCGGAGGTGCTCCACACCCATTGATGTTCTCTTTTTCCGATGGTTCTAAACATCCACATTCATGTCGAGGAGCTCAATCCTGCCATCCACGGTAAAGATGATATGGATACAGCCTCGACCTCCACCTGCCTGGTTCCTTGGATACCAAAGTATAAGTTTGATGGTGGTGATCGCAAACATCCCTCAGCAATACGTCCGTTGGTTTCGTGTCTCGCATGTTGGATGCTCCCTTTGAACATGCATTCGCCGGGAGGGTGGACCATGTGACATGGCTCGAACTGGGTAGACTGCACAGGCGCAGCCAATTCCGCAGTAGTAACTCCCACATGCTATTCTGTACCGACCCTAGCCTCACTTTGGGGTTGCAAAGTAGAATCATTTTAGTCGTCTGTCCTGCCTCTCCACCATGTGTCTCGTATGCCGCAGCTGGGTATCGGAGTTGCGAAAGCGGGAATCAGGGTAGAAATATTCAACTTCTCGCTCCGGTGGGGACAGCGCTGTCACGCTGGTCATGCTCAGACCGCGCGATGTTGCATCTGATGCCTCTTCGTAAATACCAGATTGCTATGTCGTGCCACTAGCATGTCGTGGGACGATGATGAAGCCTTGTTTGCAGCATTCGAAGCGTGAGTTCCATGCGGGGTTTGGCAGGGCGCCGGGATCCGCCAGGCGCCATGCGGACGTGGCCTCCAGCATGTGTACTCTGATTGTGTCTGAATCGATCCATCACAGGGACTTTGAGTCCGGGAGGAGCCGGACCCCTGGCGCACATGCTGCCCCTGCTGCGGCTCGGCTGCCACGACCCGAACACGGCCCTGCCAGTGGCCATCCTGCAGCGACCCCCTCCAGCCCCCCGGCTCCTGCCCAGCATGCTGCATGCCACTCTGCACCACCCGCTCCAAGCATTGCTTCTTCAGCTGCAGAAAACAGGCCCGCATACGGTCTGGGCACCCTGCGGTCCCTCTTCATGCAACCTCAAGCTGCGGCACCCTCACCCGCCCCGCAACCGAGTGCGGTGGGCCCGTTCCAAACGGCGACGCCGCAGCTGGCAGCGGCCCCACCTATGATGGCCCAGGCCCAGCTGTCCATGGCCCCACCCATGTGGAACAATCACAGCGGCCCCTCTGTATCTGGTTCCGGGCCCCATCCCCCAGGCGTTCCAGTTCATCCCAGCGGCCCTCGAGCGCTCCCCGCCTCCTTTGGGGCTGCGGTATCAGGCCCGAGCGCGGCGCCACCCCCTTCCCCCACCCTGCGGGTCAGCAGCAGCACCGCCGCACCCCTGCCAGCCCAGGAGCCTGGTCTGGGGTCGGGAGGAGCCGGGCCCCTCATGCATGCCAGCATGGAGTTGGGGGCGGAGCGGACCCTCGAGCTCCGGGTCGGCTTCCACGATGCCATCGCCGCTGTGCTCAAGAGGTGCGTGGGAGCCCTGGGGCTGCAAATAGCACCTTTCTGCTCCAGACAATGGATGAAGAGCCGGTTACCCCAATGTCTGGAGCCTGCTGCCATGCCCTTGCTGCCCCTAGGCGTGCGGAGAACGAACAGCCATGCATGCAGGCTTGGCATCGATGCCACTCCTTCCAACCGTGCGCCAGTCAAATGTCCGCCAGTCGCGCCGCCCTGCAGGCTCCCTGGCAGCTCCTATTCCTCCTCCCGCCGCACATGGACGTTCCCGGTTTCCAGCCACGACGAGGTGACGGCCGCGCTGGAGGCCGTGCCGGGCGTGAGGGTGAGGCTGGAGCCCCTGCCGAAGCCCGCCCTGGCGGTGCTGCAGGTGGGGCGGCAAGGCTGATCAGCCCTGGACGGGGTTCAGCGGGAGGAGCCCTATGTGTGACAGCTCCGCATGGAATGGTCGAGGACACAGTCCCTTCTTCAGAGGTGGGCACACCATGCTCAGAGTGTCGGGCATCGAGCACAGTCCCTGGCATCCTCCCCCAGTTCCCACACCCCACCGCAGGACGTGTCTGGCTGGGCCGACGACAGCCCGCGCTACGCATCCATCCCCTCCAACCTGGAGGCGCAGCTCATGCCCTTCCAGCGCGAGGGCGTCCGGTTTGCGCTGGCACGGGGCGGCCGGGCCCTGATCGGGGACGAGATGGGGCTGGGCAAGACGGTGCAGGCGCTGGCGGTGGCGGCCGCCTACCGCGACGCGTGGCCGGCGCTCATCATCGCGCCCAGCTCCCTCCGAGGTGCGGCATGCAGCTTCGAACTGGGTGGGGGGTTTGTGCTGTGAGGAGGGGCCCACAGACTGGGAGGCCGGGTGTGTACTTGGTCACCTGTGGTCCGGACTCCGTGCGGCGCAGACATCACTGCAGTGCCCAGGGATGTCCCATCTGAGACCCGGGTGGGGGTCCGGCAGCACTCCAGAATCCCTGGGGGCCATGGCCTGGGGCCATGCACTCCACTCTTGACGACGGGTTCCCTTCTTTCTTCTTGGGACACACCATGCAGAGCAATGGGCTGACGCGCTGCATCGCTGGCTGGGCGTGACGGAGGACCGGGTGCACGTCGTGCACACGCACAAGGACGCCGCCGCCATCCCTGCCCGCCTCCAGTTCCTCATTGCCTCCTACAACTTTGTTCCCAAGATGGTGAGGCCCTGGGGATGGGGACTGGCCCGCCGACGAAGCACAGTGGACCATCTTGCATGCCACTCTGCGCCACGGACGGCACTGCCACCATGAACCTGCTGGCTCGGGGCCCAGTCGCAGGTCTCAAAACCTCGGGACAGAGGTTTGAGCCCCTGCCGCCCTCCCCAAACCCCCGCAGGACTTGGGCCAGCGCTTCAACCTGATCATCGCCGACGAGGCGCACTACCTCAAGGACCCCAAGGCGCGAGGCTCCCATGTCTGGGCCCCATACCCGCCGCGCCTGCCTGCTTGCGCCTCCATCCCCCCACCCGGGGTGCATGCCCCCTCTCCGTGACCCCCTCCCCCTCCACACCGCGCCGCCACCACGCCACCACCGCAGGCGCAGCGCTCGCTGGCGGTGCTGCCCCTGCTGCGCGAGACGCCGCGCGTGCTGCTGCTCACCGGCACCCCTGCCCTGAACAAGCCCAAGGAGCTCTTCTCCCTGCTCTCCGCCCTCGTCCCCGGCGCGCGCCTGAAGATGAAGGACTTTGGCGAGCGCTACTGCGCGGGCACGCGCTGGGACCGCTACGGCGGCGCCAGCAACCTGCCGGAGCTCCACGCGCTCCTGCGCGCGGTCATGGTGCGCCGCCAGAAGGCCTGCGTGCTGCCGCAGCTGCCGCGCAAGCGCCGCCAGCAGTGCTTCCTGTCGCTGGACGCCGCCGCGCGCCGCGCGCTGGCCGCGCAGCAGGCCAAGCTGGAGGCGCTGCGCGAGGTGGCGGCCGCCGCCACCGCGCGCGCGGCGGCCGCGGGCGGCGGCCTCAGCGCGCTCGCGCGGTCGGGGCCGGAGGGCGCGGGCCTCATGGAGCTGTACCGCCTGAGCGCGGAGGTGAAGGGGCCGGCGGTGCAGGAGTACGTCGGCACACTGCTGGACGGCGGCACCAAGTTCCTGGCCTTTGCGCACCACACCTGCATGCTGGACGCCATCGAGCATGAATGCAACCGCCGCAAGGGGCTCAGGTCCGTGAGTGTGTGTGTGTGTGTGTGTGTGTGTGGTTTTGGAGGGCGGGGTGAGGCGGGGGTCCAGGGGGTCCCTTTGGGGGGATGGGGGAAGGGGAGACGATGCTCTTCTGTGAACAAGAGAGAATGCATGAGGGCGGGTTGATGAATGCAGGGGATCGCGTACACGAAGAATGAGCAAGGAGAAACGTCCAAGGGCATGTTGGCATGCTTGGTTTGCCTTTCTAGCGCTCAGGAGGGTTTCCGCAAAAAGGCACCCAACCGCTTGGGATCCACCGTGCCCTTTCCGCACCACGCTGAGATGATTTGTGAGGCAAGGAACGGTATGAGTCATGCGCCTGCCCTCTACAGATATCATCAAGGCACACCCCAGCCGCCCGCGCTGCCCGCAGGTTCATCCGGATCGACGGGTCCACTCAGACCTCGGACCGGCAGCGCCTGGTAAATTCTTTCCAGGAGAACGCTGACGTGCAGGTCGCCATCCTTTCCATCAAGGCCGCCGGCGTGGGCCTGACGCTCACGGTGAGGGGTGGCGAGGGGCTGGGAGGCAACGTCATCATGGCCAAGGATTGGTTGGGGAGGAGCCAGAGTCGTCCCCGGACACCAGGAGCGCCAGCGCCTCCCTTCGGTGTCCAGTGGGCGCTTGTGCCGGAGCCATGAGCGCATGCTCATATCCTACCTTGCTCAACCCCTTGCAGGCTGCCTCTACCGTGGTGTTTGCCGAGATGACATGGACGCCCGGGGACCTCATCCAGGCGGAAGGTGGGAGGGCCCCGAGTCAGGGTGGCACCAATGCTCGCTTGAGCGCCACCGACATAAGAGCCCTTTTGAATTCCGCCACCCCTGTCCACTGCACGCCTCCCACCCGCCCTTGTCCCCCAGACCGCGCTCATCGCATCGGCCAGGCCTCCTCGGTGAACATTCACTTCCTGCATGCCAAGGGCTCCGTGGATGACATCATCTGGTCCACCATTCAGGTCCGTGCTGGATGCTTTTGTGAGGGACAGCTCCGGAACGTGCACAGCATCGTAGCCGTGCACAACCCCTCGACGCCGTGATTCGGATGCAGCGGGCGGCACCGCAACCTCCTGACGCCGCCATTCCAACCCATCGTATTTCACAGAGCAAGCTGGAGAGCGTGGGGGAGGCCCTGGATGGCCAGGGCCAGGCGCTGGAGGTTGCTGGCGGGGCGCGCACCCTCCCCGAGCGAGGTGAGACGGTCGGGTGGGGCTGGGTATGGGTGGGACGCCTGGGATTGGCCGGGGATTGTGGGGCCGGGGCAGGGCCTGGGAAAGCGTGCCGGGACCCGTCTGTCACCAGCACGCACAGCCCCCATGAACGCAGCACTGCATCCATCCTCAACAGGTCAGATGACGGTCACAAGTTTCATGGAGGGCGGGGTCAGGAACGCGGCCCAAGCTGGGGCGCAGCAACCCGGGCATCAAGTGCCTGCATGGCAGGCTCCGGCGCCGCTGCCGCCCCACCAGGCGCTCAACAAGAAGAACGCTGCGCCCATCGCCGCGGCAGGTCACCTGAAGAGGTCCTTTGGTGAGGTTGACCTGACTTGAAGAGCTGTTTAATCAGTTGTGTTCGACAGACCAACCACCCCATGACCAACCACCCCATGCTGGTCGCGGAGCGCGCCCAGCATGCGGTCGTCGTCGTCGCCATCTCATGATATTCCAGAAACAAGTCAGGAGGAACAGTGACACAGCTCAGCTTATACTCATCTCCACATGGAGGTGGTGCATGCCCAGTCCGGCTCGGCGACGAGGTCGCGACCGGGGGTGTTTGTACTGAGAAGGGGTCCACCCGGTCGGTCCCACCCTCCGAATCCCCTCAGCCTTGGGAGAGGCGGCGCTGCGACCCAGGTTAGAAGGCGTCATGTAAGTTTCAGGGGCTCCCGGAATGGATGGCGATGAATGCGAAACCGTCGAAACGACGTGCCAAAAGAACCAACTTTGCCGGACGCCATGACAAGGTCCCCGCCTCTCGCAGGTGGCACGAGCGACCGGATCATCCTTTGATGTTGTAGACGAGATGCTGGCGCAGCAGGCGGCGAGCATGCGGCAGTTTGACAGGGAGATGGCCCGTGTCGAGAGGGGGGTGCTGGATCAGATGCTGAGCATGGAGCGGCAGACTGCCCCCAGGGTGCACATGCACGACGACATCAGGACGGGACAGCATTGGAGGGTGTACGAGAGAGAGGGAGGCTGGCGTGGAACGGGTGAGCGCGCGGTGTCCTGGTGTTGGGTCGGGCTCTGGTGTGAGCGGTTGGTATCGTCTGCAGGCCCCCTGATGGCGATGCTGCACCGCTCCCAGGCGGAACGCATCCTCCTTCATCACCCCCCACTGCTCCTACATGCACACCACAGGCTCCCTGAGCTTCTACTCGGAGAGGTACGCGGTCTCACAGCCCGTCCGCCAACCCCTGCCGCCCAGGGTGCAGAGCACGCAGGGCAGCCCCATCGCGTCCGGCTTCCTGGTGGCTGCCGCCTTTGCAGCGGGCCTCTGGGCGGTGCTGAGTGCGCTCCTGGTGCGCAACCATGGCCGCACGGCGTACGCGGCCGAGAGCCGCCTCACGCTCCTCGCCCTGTGGCCCCTCCTGCTCCTCACCTCACCGTCCTTCCGTGGCCAGTTTGCGAGGGCGGTGGGATGGACAGATGTGGGCAGCCCCACTGCCTCCACACATGACAGCCCTCTCCGCGAGGATGAGGCCTGAGCTTGGATGCGCCAGCAATATTCTTAAATCGCCCCCTGATAGGATGCTGGGGTGGCGCTGTTGGCTAGGAGTAGCCAGATTTCCCTCTGTCCTTCTCAGGAGAGGGTGGTGCCGTCTGTGCAAGCCACCCGGTGCATAGGCATGCCCTGTCTTTGCTTGTGTTGTGGATGCGCCCAAACTTTGACCTGGATACCCTCGCATGCGAGCTCTTGCCTCAGTACAGAGCCCTTGATGGTGAGGACGTGCCACATGAGACGAAGTCAGACCGGATGGTGCTGCGCAAGGGGGGAACTCCGTTTCCCTACGCAGTTCCGGCAACGTGGGCACCATATGCATACAACACTGAAGAGATGGGCTGACTGAACAGTAGAGAGCAAGGGATAAAAATTGAGCTCTGGTTGGAAGAGGGTGGGTGCCTCAAGGGAGAGGGGGGGGGGCATTGCAAAGAGAGTTGCCAGCAAGGGATGGTGCTGGTGCAGGCTAGGGAAGTATCGGTCCATTGACAAGACAACAAAAGGTGACTGGGTCGTTTTGCAGGATGGGACAATGCATCTGCTGGACCAGCAGACCGGAGGGGAAGAGCATCCCGGTCATGCTTCTGCAGCCACGGAGGTACATGGAGAGGGCAACCAAGGCGGGATCAGGAAGTCAATACGCTATGGCACATCCAACCAGAGCAAGTGTGATTGGGTTGGGACCTGGAACATTGCAGGTGCAAACACGGCCATCGCTCTGTGGTGGGCATGGGGCTGCACCCTGTGCGGTCCTTATCGCACCACCCCTGCCTCCCTCAGGAGGGCCGACAGGTCCCAGTTCAACGCCTTGCACACCTCCAGCTCACGCCAGCTCAGTTCCGCCGGGCACACGGAGCTGGCGGAGCAGATGAGGGAGCGGCAGGGCGCTGCGGTCCTCACCGCGATGAGTTTCATGGCCAGCCAGAGGCAGCAGACGAGGGAGCAGTGGTCCCAGAAGCCCAGGTTCTTGACCAGCACCAGGGCGGCCTCCAGCGTGTTGTTGTCGCACCGGACCTGAAGGCGGGGCAAATGGGGGGTTGGAGGGGGGCTGTGACGGGCAGTGCAGGTGTTAGAAGTCGGACCATCCATTGGTCATGATCAGAAGCGTGCCTGGGGCCCAGTCAGGCGAGAGGGCAGCGATGCCGGTTGTGAATGATCGGAATCCGAGAAGGGGCCCAGGAAGAAACAGAGCGGACCGGCTACGGGGCTCAGCACTCCCACCCCGCGGAAGAGTGGACGTCATGGTGCCCACAATTAGTTCTCAAGCTCACCTGGGGTTGAAGTGAGATCAGACGACTGCGGATGGTCGCTAGACTCGCACGGAGCCTGTAGTCCACGGTGTCGTAGTACCGTACGGGGAAGTGCAGCCCAGGGAGGAGGTGAAGCTCGTAGTCTTGCTGCTGCAAGGACTCCGAGGTGTAGGAAAGCTGCAAATTGGGCCGGTGGTGAGCGGTGCTGGAGGTTTCTGGAGCCCGCCTCTCGCGGGTGGGTCAGCCCCTCCCTGATGAACTGGCGGAGCACCCACCTCGGCCAGGATCCTCGAGTCCAACTCCGTGATGGTGGATTCCGTCGATAGCGATCGCTCAATATCGGCGCATTCTTCATCATCCGAGGGTTGCGCAGGTCGCTTTGACATGGCACGGCCCGCTTTAGGGAGGTAGACCCGACACACGAGCGTAACTCCTCCGCCCTGTGTGACACCCTCTTCCACTACACTAAGGGATGCGATGTCGTACGCTCGAATGAACGGTACGTCTCTCCAACTGTCTCTTCGCACATGGGTGAGTCCTGACATTTCTTCACGGACGATTCATTGGCCATTCACCTGTCATTCCGGAGGGGGGCGCTCACGGTCTCCTCAAGTCGCGCTCGCATGTTGACCGCTGTGCCAAGCTACGCATGGGAGCTCCATGACCCGAAGACAGGGATACAATTCATGTAAAGTCACCCAATGTAAGTGCAAGGATACTAATTTGCTTTGTGAGAAGGTTCATTGTCCTGTCACGCCGTCATGGCCGTCGCACCATGACGGCCACTCCGCCCAGCCGGTGCCTCTCGCACTCCCGATGTACGCACCCACGCTTTGCCAGAAGCTGATGTCGCGCGACTGTTTCCACGCGACCATGCTGGTACCATGCAATGTCGATATTCCTGCGTCGGAGTGCCGCCGGAAGGTTTATGTCAAGACACTGCGCCCCGATTGGTCACGCACCGCCTGCCGTGCCCTCGACAGAGCGTAGATGTGGATGGCGGGGTGCTCATAGGCAGGGTCCAGCTTGGAGACGGGGACTCTGCGCAGGGTAAACACACCCTCGCACCCCGCCAGAAACGCGGCGTGGACTGAGGCCGACCGGAATTCGTTGGTGACGAGGATACGGGAGGAGGGTACCGTCAGGGCCAGGAGCGTCGCGAGGAAGTGGGGCACTGCGCCCTCGGCATAGATGCAGTCAGCCGCCAGTAGGAACGGGAATGGGGGCCCCAGTGACGCGTAGGCAGCAGCGTCCGCCCAATCCAGGGGAGCCACACTGGCGGTCCCCACGCGTGCGGCGGCGGCGTCGGCCCCGCTCACTGCAAATCTCATTCGGGAGGGGGGAGAGCCGTCTCACACATGGTCTTTGCGGGGCATGGGGGGGCAGCAATGCGCCCTTGCATCCACAAGGGCATGAGCGGGACCGAGTGCCTGCCCAAGGCGCCTGGCTGACTCGCAGCATCGCCTCGCCCAGCTGTTCCGCACTTTCCCAGCAGCACTATTCCATGCTGGGCAGCTATTGTCCCATCCCCACTGCACCCCTCCAGGACCCACGTCTCAAGGCCGATGGCGTCAGGTTGTTCTGCACGTTCTGGCGCAGGAGTGGCAGCACCGACTCCAAGTCCGTGAAGGTCACATGGGCCCCCATCAGAGCCATCGCCGCGCCTGCGAGGCCCATGCCGGCCCCCAGCTCCAGGCAGCGCTTGCCCTTCACACGCACAGTGGACCACTCGCCCTTGCGCGCGTTCTGCGTGGGGTTTGGGTGCGTCGGGGGGGGGTGGGGTGTGGTGATGGAGGTGAAGGGGTCACAGGGAGGGGTGGAGTGACACACAGCAGAAGGCAGATTGTGAACACTTCTCAGCACCAAGCTGGGAGCAGGATCGGGGCGCGGCAAGAAATGGAACCATGCTCTGCTCCACAGGCATGCCTGCTGGAGTGATCAACATTCACACCAGGGCCGCATTCTCTGACAGTCATAATAGTGAGACTTTCACAAAAGCGGGCACCATCTCGGACCCCTCGATACAGCACCCCCCCCGAGTGCACCTTTTCAAGGAATTTTGCTAGTACGATGGAGGCATCCCAGACGGTGGTGCCAAGGTTTTCGGAGTTTGGGTCCTGTGCAAAGGTCAATCTGACCCTGAGAGGAGGGGGGACCTCCTTCAGTTGCTGGCGGGGTGGCGAGCGTAGAAGTCCGGATGATGACAGGGCGAGAACATGAAAGTGAAAGAGTCCAGACTTTTGGCTGCCCAAGCTGTCGCAGAGGTCTCAATAACAGGGAAATGCCATCGCGTCACTCACCCAAACAGCTCTTGCTCAACACTGGTGCTGAAGTGAGTGTTCCACCGTTCCTCGAGAGGCATCGACCTCGCCCAACCCACCCCAGATTTTGTAGTTGCAGCGATATCCTTGGCATGTGTAAGAGATGACAATGGAGCATGCAGCCATCAGTTTCACCGCTGTACCGGACACGCATGTTCAGGGCGCGGAAACAGTCCGAGGTCGTTCATGAGCTTCACATGGTCTGTCGACACAACAGAAGAGGCATAATGTGTGGCGAACGCCTCTTGGAATTCGTCACATACAAAGGCTGCCTGTGCGAGATTTGCACTGTGCATGCGCAAGGCGGACCTGCACATGCAGAGAAGGAGGAGACTCATGGCGCGATACACTTTCCTCTACAAAGTGCAGGGTATCGGTGTGCATGGCGGCTTGCCCTGGGGTTTGCAGCCTTGCATGAACGACTATTTGGGCTTCCGATTTCATACAGCAGCATGGATCTTGCAGGGTCAATGGGTTCCCCTCCAAGCGCAAGAAGTACAGCTGCTTCTTGAGGATCCTGGCGTCACAGCTGTCGAGGATCAGGAGGAAGTTGAGGGTGTCAGAGCTGAGCCGGGATCTGTGCCTTGAGGGCTTTCCTGGGCGACACTCCTGGTCTCCTCCTCCTCCACCTGTTTTGCGCATGGAGGATGGACAAGTGGCGACGGAAGAGCAGCACTCACAGCAATGGACACTCTCAACCGGACCTCTCGAGCTGGAGCTCGACAGGTCCCTGCTGTCGATCAATCACACAGACGCACGAGACCGCATGTGGCACTCCCACCCACCAGTTGCCGTCGCAAGCTGCAGTCATTCAGCAATGCATTCTGTTTCAGCTCTCGGTTGATGGCCAGCAGGTTTTCAGCGGCCACCAGCATGCGCTCAACATACACATCGGGCAGGGCTCCTGGGGTGGTGCCCTGGGAGTGGCAAGGAGATGTAGGGTGAGGGTTTGCTGACCATCAATACCATCAACGCGACTCGCAGTGTAAGGATGGACCCAGTCCAGCAAGCAACCAGCTGACCAAAGTTCTCCTGTCTACCCCGAATGGGGCACGTAAGGGTCCCCACCTACGCTCACCTTCATGCTACCTGCATCGTTTTGAGGGTGCAAATCCACCTTTGCGCTCTTAAGTACGTTCATGAAGCTTTCGGTGATCGTCCCAAAGTCTTGCACGATGCGATCCTGGAGTCTCGACGACATACTCCCTAGGTGCCTTAGCGAGGCTGTCGCAGGTCCAGCGAACACATGTCATCTACAAGCAATCTGTGGCGTACCTCACCGGGGAAGGAGCGCCGCAGTATTAAGGGGACGGCATGTTCCCGGGCTGGTGGTGGTGAAGTGGCCTTCAGTCACAATATGACCCGCATTTTATTCAATCCTGTCGTCAGTGTGCCCGAGTGGTCTAAGGGGTTGGTCTCAAGTGAATTTCGCGCTTCCAGCTTAATGCCTGGGTATTCCAATGGCTTCGGCCGCGTGGGTTCGAACCCCACCGCTGACAACTTTTTCGTATCTCTCTGTTTTGCATGACATGGATGCCGCATCATGTAGTCAAACTACCTGGCCGCATCAGGAGCCGTAACCTTCCTCCCTCCACATCCGCTGTTCTGCTCCCTTACAGGCCAAGGCACACGTCGTCCCAGCAAGCCGACTCGAGCGCGCTCTCAAAGAGGTACATACCGGGCCCGCTCCTCGGCAGATGAAGCGAAGATCTCCACGTACCTCGTGCCCATCATCTGGCGGTGCTTGGTCTGGGCCGCCGCCGCCGCCTCGGGGCTCTCAAACTCGACGAAGCCCATCCCATTGGGCCGGCCGTCGGCCGCCACAGCAATAGTGACCCTGGGGCAGATGGGTACGTGTGCAAATCTGGTTGCAGGCAATGGGGACCGCCCGTGCCCGCCCAGGTGCAGTATTACCAAGCGCCTAAGAGGGCACAGTGCAATCCTGCTCCGCCCCTCCGGCACCCAGCGCACGCATCTTTCGCCCATGCAGGTAACCTGTCCACCCCTTGCGCGCACTTTTCGGGGTTGGGTGCCAGCAGGCCGATGGTGGGATCGGCGAAGAAGGCGGCGATGTCGTCGACGGAGGCGGAGAAGGGCAGGCCGCGCAGCTTCACGATGGTGGTGGGCGGCGGGGCGGGGCGCTCCGAGCCGGGTGGGGGGGACCTGCTCCTGCTCCTCCCGCGGAAGCCGCCGCCGCCACCGTGGTGGCCGCCGTAGCCGCCACCGCCGCCGCCAAACGTGCTGCACACCGCGTTGTAGTAGTCCGGCTTGCGCGCCTCCAGCACCTCGATGTAGCGCGAGCCCATGTAGGCCTTGTGCTTGCGCATAGCGCCCTCCATTTCCGCGGGGTGCACCAGCACGACAAAGGCCTCGCCCGTGGCGCGGCCGTTGTTGCGCACCAGCAGGATGTCAATGGTGTCCAGGCCCTGGTAGTGGGGAGGGGGAGGAGAGGGGGGCAAGGGTGGGGGGGTGGGGCTCGCACGTGGGACCGAGCGAGGCACGGCGTGCATCCGACTGTGGCTGGGCCAGGTGCGGACGGATGCGAGGGCAGACCGGCACTCTCGCCGATCACACTGCAAAGACCAGCAGCCAAGCCTCCCAGCAATGCATCCATGCGGCGCTGCACTCATCTTCCCACCCCAAATAACCCCGCGCTGAACCCACAGACCCCCCCACGCTGTGTACCCACCAGGAACATTCCCACTTCAGCCTCTTGCACCCCAAACGGCAACCCCCGCAGTTTGACGCAGGCGAAAAAGCTAGATGGCATCCCTCCCATGCCCCTGAAGGGGGGTGGGCCTGGTTCATAGGCAGGAGGGCCGTCGTACCCATACCCGGGCCCGGGCCCATAGCCACCTGGTGGGGGGTAGCCCGGTCCTCCATGGTGGGGGGGACCCGGGGGGTGGTAATGTCCGGGCGGGGGGGCACCGCCTGGAGGAGGACCATAGCCAGCAGGGCCCGGCGGGCCTCGCCCGCCGGGAAATGGGGCGCCGCTCTCCAGCGTGATGGATCCTGGGGTCCGAGCTGGGGTCTCCAGACAGAGGACGCAGGGCGATGTACCCAAAGTGGCTTGATGTGACGAGTCTTGGAACAAAGTGACCACGGAGATGGTGGTAGCTCTCGTTGGGTGCTGCCTTCGCCGATCGCACTGGGTAACGGAGGGCAACCTCAAGCTCCTCTCTTCTTTCTTCCCGATGGAGCAGTCCTCGAAATGCACCCATGCACATGCCCTTTGGAGCTGCATGTGTGGTCCTGGTTGACAATTCGCATCGAAGACAGTCCTATTTGGAGACAGATATCGACTCGACTCTCACAACCATCGACATGCAACTCTGCGCACCCCTCCCTGCACAGTTGAGGGCGGTGTGCAGGCTGGTGGCCTTCACACCGCGACACATCTCGAGCTTCCACTCCAGCTCCCGGTGCCACCGACCACGAGAGGGCCCGGTAGCCGATGCCAAAGGTCGCAGGGGAATGGCTGAGCTCATGAGGATGGAGAAGGAAGAGGAGGAGCAGGCAATTCCAGGTGATGGATCGGGGGGTGAGCTAGGAGGCAAGGTCATGGACTCGGGGGTGGCATTCTTGCACTCGACCCTGCTCATGCGTTTCTGCATTGGGCACCACAGCTCTTTCTGACTTCAAGCTACGACCCACCGTCGCCACCCCCTCTCACCGACCAGCAGACGCACCCCTGCTGTGGAATGCGCCACTCCAAGTCATCAAGTACCCCGACCCGCGCCTCAGGGCTGGCAACGCCACGATCACGAGGTTTGACGATACACTCCGTGCCTTTGCCAAGGACATGTTCGACGCTATGTATGAGTGAGTCGGCGCGGGTCGGGCATGGGGTTGCAGTAGAACGCTTCAGAGCGAATCAGTCCCATTGCTGGATTGCGAGGGGGCGGCTCACTGTCGGCCCGCATGGAACGGGAGCGAGGTTCCTCCAGCGCCCAGGCGCTGTGCGGCTGCACACAGATCCCTGCCGCTCATTAGACTAGCGAGACTTCCCAGTATCTCCCCTACAGCGGCCCCCCCCCTTCCTCCCCTTCCTGCAGTGATGAAGGCGTGGGTTTGGCTGCGCCTCAAGTGGGGGTGAACATCCGCCTCATGGTGTTCAACGAAATGGGCAAGAGAGGTGCGACCTCGCCGGCATTAGGGGTTGGGAGTTGGGTTGTTGTAGTAGGGGCACGGAGGCCCCTTTCACTGAGGAGGTTTGCCTACCATTGAGCATCCACATGCTGGATTCTGGGCGGCTAGGGGCTGTTAAGTTCCCAAAGAGTACATTGGTTTAGGTTGGGCTGGCAAGCCCGAATTCTTCCACTATTCCTTTCTTCCCCAACCCCTCGTTTTTCAATCTTAGGCGAAGGTGAGGAGGTGGTGCTGGTTAACCCCGAGATCATTAGCTATGGCAAGACGCAGGACCTGTTTGAAGAGGGCTGCCTCTCCTTCCCCGAACTCTATGGCAACGTGGAGGTGCGCGGGGCCAAACGATACGTGATCCCTGGAGCTTGGGGGGAGGTGACGAGGAACAGAGGACTGATGCGCGTCTCAACCCCACACCAGTATGCACCATCCACAAAACATCTGCACTTCCCTACCACACCTCCTCGCAGCGGCCGACAAAGGTGACCATCCGTGCGCACGACGAGTTTGGCAAGCGCTTCAAGCTGACGCTGTCCGGCTGGCCGGCGCGCATCTTCCAGCACGAGTACGACCATCTCCAGGTGAGTGGGGCCAGCCGGCACAGAAGCATCCCGTGGAGGGCAGGCTGCGCACCTGCTGACAGCCGAGCGCCCAGCCTGTCCACGACCCACCCCACCACGAAGGTCCATTCACTCGTTCGCCCCCCCGCCCCCGTTCACGCCCCCTTGCCACCAGGGCACCCTGCTGCCGGACCGCATGCAGCCAGAGGTACGGGAAAACATTGCCGCCGGGCTGGAGGCTCTGGTGCGGGAGTTCCAGGCCACCAACCCTGGCACCTCGCCAGCGCTCTGAGCCTGTCCTGGAGATGAGGTGTCGATGGCAGGTGCTGTGACCATATTATTGATGCACAGCCACAGCCGGCTGGGTCGTGTTCAGCCGGGAGCGAAAAGGCAAAGAGCCGCCAGTCAGCGGGGGGCGGTGGTGATTTGGTGGTGTGGGAATGGGGAAGAAGAGGGGGTAAAAGAGGGAAGGGAGTGGAGAGGGGGCCTTTCAGGGTTGCGGGTGAGGGGGCTCAGGTTGTGCGTTCCCGGGCCGTCGCACGGGGGACGGCAGGCAGGTTTGGTGGGGGGGTAAGGGATGGAGCAACCTGAGCGTCCGCAAAACACGGCATGTGGGTCAGGGGTTTGCACCATGGGGCTCAGGCAGGGAAAAAAGAGAGAGGGGTAGTATCCGGAATGAGCGAGCCCTTGGGGCTGTCGAAAAGCATGGGCTGGAGTTGGGGTGGCATGTCTGGTCTTGGGCCGGCCCCGCGGCAATGCCCACCCAGATTGTGCAGACAGGAAGACATTGCAGTGGGCGGGCTGTCAGTGCGGCAGGCGAGCAGACAGCCAGGCCGTCAGGGTCGACACTGGGGCTGGATCTGTCGGCATCCAGGCTTCTGCACACAGGCCGCGCACATCGGGAGCAATGTTGGCCGCGCCGGCGCAGGCGACCCGGCCGTCGACGCCGCTCAGGCGGCCGAGCTGTTGGTCAGCCCGCTGCCGGCCGGCGCGGCGCCCACGCTGAGCGCGCGGCGCGCATCCAGGCCCGCCCCCGGCGGCAACACCGTGGAGGGCGTGCTGGCGGTGACCTGGAGCTGGCGCCAGAGGCCCAGCGCCGCGCGCGTGCGGCGCAGGACGCTGCTGCCCGCCGTCGGCCGCGCCGACGGCGCGCCCGTCGTCGTCGCCGTGGCCGTGGCGGTGGCAGTGGTGGAGCCCGAGCCCTGGGGCACGGGCTTGGTCACGGCATCCTCGCCGCCTGCCGCGCCCCCCCCCGCCGACCCCTCGCTCATGGCGCCCTCCCCCATGCGCGCGGGCTCGCGCCGCCGCTTGTGCCGCGGCTCGGTGTGGCAGCCCGGGCCGTCGCCGGGCGCCGCAAGGCCGCCCGCGCTGCTGCCGCACACGTGGCTGTCGGCCGACAGGCTGGAGCCGTGATGAACCTCGGCGTCGGCCACGCTGGTGGGGCCCTCGGCCTCCCCCAGCACCCGCGC